TACTGCCTTTTTTTTTTTTTTTAATTATGTGAATCATTCTGATTCTTTGAGTTACTCTTACATCCCCAGAAAGCCTGTGTGATGAACTCTCTTTGCCAATTCCCCCTTTCCCCCTCAGCTGGCATTCAGGGAAGCCATGGGGGGAAATGGGACAGAGATGAAAAGAAGGCTGCGTAAAAAGCAGGGGTGGGAGCAAGGGAGGGGAAAGGGGCGGTTTGGGTAAGGCATTTTGGAGGGGAATTTGGAGCCGCTGCTGCTGCAGGGGGAGGAGGAGAAGATGGAGCTGGATGATGAGCACGCAGGAGCGAGGTTGCCAGGCTCTGCGGGCGAAGGGCCGTGGTATGTGGGGCTGGCCGGTCGCTCAGACCGAGAAGGCAGCCCGTGGCGTGGAAACCAGTGCGGGACACAAAAGGGAGAAGGAAGGCAGGGAAGGGCGGGAGAGGGGTGGTGAGAGGCTAAGGAACTGGGGGAGCAGCAGCTTGGTTTGTAGACGCAGCAGGTACGCACCTGGGCTTGGTAGAGCGTGCCTCTGGCTGGGATGTAGAAGGGAGCCCCAAAAGTCTCAAAGTCTGGGACTCCCTCCCAAGGGATTTGAGGGGGAGGTGGGGGGAAGGACCTTAAAATGGCTCCAGTCACGCCTCAGCCTGTCAGCACTGCCAGACTGCAAGACGTGTATTTTATATAATGTGACAGAGTTTCTCGTGCAGTAGTGACGAGATTTGGCCTTGCTTATTGGAAACCTTCCATCCATCAAACACTTCTCAGCAAAATGTACATTTCATCACCTTTTATTACTGCTCCATATAAAACATAACTACCTACTGTTACTATTACTCCATTAGTGGAAGTAGCAGAGATCCACCCGTTGCTACAGATTTCAGCCAGGCTAATAAGCAGAGTGGGTGCCAGTATTGTGGCATGTGACGAATTTCCTTTTTCCTTTGGTAGAAGAGGGGTTTTTTTGTTTAATCGGGATAAAAGAACACAAGCTTGCAAAGTAAAGCAATCAAGTTACGAAATGCCAGAATTAAAGTTGCTTCTGCTATCCCAATTCAACTCATTGTGCACATGCCTTTAGAAACACTAATTGCGTGAACAGACTTCACATACTCATGAGATGGGCACTTTCTGTGTCAATATGTATTAAAACATAATATATTTATTGTCTAGTATGTGGCAATGTTTATTGTGTGCTATGTGAACCTCACCTAGACAACAGAATTTAATTTACTCATGGGTTTCTGTATGGCACTTCTCACCGTACTACCAGAGTGCTTCACAAATGTTTGCTTCTCACTGGAGCCACGGATGAATAATCTGGCAGCATTCCTAAATTAGACTGGGAGCTAACATGCAGAAAATGCAAGGAAAAAAACTCCTTCCGCTATCTTAGCTGCTCCATATGAAATATTTTGGACTTTGACTTTTTAAAAAATAGTACATGCATAGTCCCAGTGGACTTTAGTTACAGCTTTGTGTGCCCACTAGTTCACAAATCAGATGCAAATCTGAAGTTGGAGCATTAGAAAAGAACGAGTATGTTACTGGAGGTCACTTGAGGAACTCTGGGATTAAAGCTAGTCGGCATCATGTAAGAACTCATTGAGGTGGGAGCAGGGATTGCATTTTTTAGGACAACGTGATGGTATTAACCATAAATCCCCCCCCCCCTTTTTTTTTTTTTAAATCTAGCTTCTCACCACATTCACTGTATTTGTCACAGAATTTGGAAATGAATCAGACTAAAGTCTGTTTTATGCATTATAGTATTATCAATCTCATGTATTGAGAAACTGTAATCCTGGAATTTCTTGCACTTCAATGACAACTTTGATATAATTATGTTCCTGTTAAACTATTTTCTTTTGTGTAATATACAGAGTAATTAATCTGGTGTCTATCTGCCGAGATGGAAATACAATATCAGGAATGTATACCATTGATATATACTGTGTTGACGATGTATCTATGTAAAGTACATGTTCCTAATAACATGTTCGAGAAAGCTTTGATCTGGACCATTACAAATGCTTGTCCACACTAATTTACAACTCTCTCATCTTTCTTTTTCTCCTCTACTCAGGATATCCTTTTGCCTTGTTCCAGCGCTATTTCCTCTTCCAGAAGGAGACCTACCTCATTCATCTCTACAATGTGTTCACAGGACTCTCAATTGCTTACTTCAATTTTGGTAAGATGAGTTTGGGAAGAGAGAGCTGCCTGGCCCGAGGCATGCTGTGGTTTGGGAGTACCTATAATGGGAAAATGTAATTTCTAATTCATATCTCTCTCTCTTTCCCCCCTCCACAGGGATGCAGTTCTTTCATTCCCTGCTATGTGTCCTAATCCAGTTCCTCATACTGAGACTAATGGGTCGCACAATCACTGCCGTCTTCACCACATTCTTCTTTCAGATGGTAAAACTCTCTCTCATACCGTATCGGTTTGTAGAAAGGAGCCCTCTGTTCAATTTTGCACTTCCCAGTAGCAATGGTGGGTGGAAAAGTGGAGACAGATCAAAACCAGCTGGAGGAATTAGTTTGAATAACCCAAACAATGGTTTCTTTCAGACATACCTTATGGCTGGATATTACTTCACAGCCACAGAGCATTATGACATCAAGTGGACAATGCCACATTGTGTCTTGACCCTCAAGTTGATTGGTGAGTGACACCTCCTTCCTATCTCTTCCACTCTGCAAGCCGTCCTTCAGGGAAGAGAGGGCTGCTTGTTCAGCCCAACCAGCCCATCATAGGGCTTTAAATAATTGTTTCTCACCTCTAGGTCTGGTCATCGATTACTATGATGGAGGAAAAGATCCGGTGAGTAAGACACCATTGCTCCTTCGTTCCTCCTCCCCTCTTCTGTGTCATTCCAGTGAGCTAGAAGTCAGAAAATCAAGTTCAAAGGATGCAAGTTAGCATTTTTTGGTAAAAGCCATAGTTGAGAGGGGAGCATCTGCGAGTGTCTGAGGGCACTGAATTCTGGAGTGGAAAGAAATAATTCACAGTAGTGATTAGAGATGGACAACAGTTGTTTAATCATGTCAGAATATTATTCTGCCCCCATCCAAATTCCCCACGACCTCCTTCCCCCAAATCTGTTGCGTTAGATTCCTGATCCCTGATGCTCTGTGTCCTGTGAGTAGTGGTACCTTTCACTTGCAGACCATGAGCGCTGGATCTCAGTTCCCATCTTCCTTTCCTTTGTTTAGCTTTACCATATCCTTGTGAATGGTTGCCCTTTAGCATTTGTTAGGGCCCTGTTTTTAGAGCAGTTGAAACAGTGAGAGAAGTCACACATGACAGTGTTTGGGAAAGGACAGAACACTTGCTACAGTCTCTTAATTCTACTTCTATTATCTGCATTCCCCATCTCCTGTTTGGGGCCTGACCCAATCTGTAGCATCCATGGAATCACTGCTGACTGCAAGAAAACAAGGTTGAGCTGAAATTTCCTAAGCTGAAGTTTCAAGTATTTAAAGACGATGAATTCTTGCATCAAGAAGTAGGAATTGTTGGACAATAAGGTCATGGGAGAGTAGATGCAATTGTGGTCAGGGACTGCAGTCCTTGCCTTGCACTGCAGATACAGTGCTTTTACTATGCTGTTAGGGATGCATGTCAACAGATTCCATCCATGGTTTGAGCCTATTTCGGAATAGAGATCCGTGCAACTGGTCTCAACCATTGGATCTTGTTGCTGTTTAGAGGGGGTGGGGATAGAGAGGGCTAGGGAGAGGACTGGACGCGAAGTACAAAGTGCAAAGTTCCATGTACATGGAGAGCAAGAACCGAGACCACTAAGAGGTTAGGCTGAGAACATAAGAGCCAGAGCTAGTATGAGATCCCCTAGGAGGATGTTAATGCCACTCCCTTTGGTGCAGGAGTTCCTGACCCCTGAGCAGCGGCGATTTGCTGTCCGGGGAGTTCCTACCTTGCTGGAGGTCTCAGGATTCTCCTATTTCTATGGTGCCTTCATGGTGGGGCCTCAGTTCTCCATGACAGACTATCAGAAACTGGCAAGGGGAGAGATGACTGACGTTCAAGGCCAGAGACCCAATAGGTAATAAAAAGCCGCTTAGCTTCTCACCTTCCTAAGATCCCAGAATGCTGAATCCTCCACATTCCCTGCAGCAGAGTGGCTTCTCACCCGGACACTAAAGTACTGTGACCAAAAGTGATTTATAAGACAAGGCAGTCTTTCAAAAGTTGCTCATAACTCTCTGCATAATGTCCTAACGTTGTTCCCAAGAATGAACATCAACAACCATTTGACATCTTTAGTACAGCCTTGGTCCCAACCTGGTAATGTTAGCATCCCAGCTTCCAAATGGAGGCATCTGCTGCAGTGGAACGTGGTGACTCCCTATCGCTATCTCCCCTACCTCCTCTTCTCCACTTCTGTTTTTAAAATTATGAGTTTGACGGCCTTTTTCCAAGGCTTTTCTTTGACCTTCATATTTTTCTTTCTCAGTTTTGTGCCTGCTCTCAAGCGCCTGAGTTTGGGTCTCTTGTTTCTAGTAACCTATACCTTGTCAAGCCTGTACATCTCTGATGAATACCTCATCTCAGATGAGTATATGGTATGTATTCATTTGACAGTTCTCGGGTGTGGAAGAATCCCACTTCTCTGGAGGGCACTGGAGTTACAATAATGGATTATTTTTTTTTTAGTTTAATTTAAAAATAAGACAAGTCAGTCACTAGCGATAAGCCTTTCCATAACTGATTTGGCTTTACTGCCTGTCCTGTGGATTCCATCTGATGCAGAACAGAAATGCGTTAAGCTGAATTGAACCAAAGGAGAGCTTTTACAAATAGAGAATTAGTCTTAGAAGCTACTGTTGTTTTTGGAAACCTAACAGATATATATTGCGACCTTTTAGTGACCTTCCATTTAACTGTTACATGCAAAAAACTAGAGTAACTTGCAAGGCTTACCAAAATCTTTGAGGTTCTTAGAAAACTCTTAAGAAGTAATTCCTACCCACAGATTATCAGTGTGTCTGTGTCAGTATGAATAAATGAGGGTGTAACTTCTGCAATGATTATGCTAATCCCAGGGTCTTCCCAAAGTACCTATTTCAGTACAGCCACCTATTACCAAAAGAAGGAGAATGATGCATAAATTTGTATAAGCCAATAGCCTGGCAGTCCAGTCCATATAGCAGTCTCAACACATACATCAGATTAAAATGAAAAACATCTACCTTGTCTCATTATTGCCACTCAACTCTGGGTTTTATTTTTATTTTATTTCACTCTTACCTCTGCAGGAGAAGCCTTTCTGGTTCCGTTGTGGTTACATATTGATCTGGGGCAAAATTATACTCTACAAATACGTAACCTGCTGGCTTGTTACGGTGAGTCTAGATGTCGTTCCAGAAACAAAAGACAAATGAACAAAGGTAGCACCTTTGCAGCTACTTAGCATGCTCTTGGAATTAGCATGAAATGGAACTAATCCAAATTTTTGGAGATCAGTGGAGGTCAGTTGAGCTTGCTTTTAGTTAGCAAAGGCTGGCTAACTAAGAAGCAGGCAATTTTTAATCCACTTGTTCCATCTGTAGTGGTGCTTTCCACTCAACACAGTGAGAGCCAGAGCTTCCCCAGCTCTGCCTGTCAAACCAAATAAAAGGGCAATGTTTTCCTCTCATCTTTCTTGTGAATCTTTTTTCCATAGGAAGGTGTCTGCATCCTTGTTGGTCTGGGGTACAATGGGGAAGACAAGAATGGAAAGCCTCTGTGGGATGCCTGTGCCAACATGAAGGTCTGGCTGTATGAGACAACACCTTTGTTCACAGGGACCATTGCGTCTTTCAACATCAACACCAATGCCTGGGTGGCCCGGTGAGCTGGACAAAATTCCCGTTCTGTAACGTGTCAGTAATGTCTGTGTCGACAGAACCAAGATCCTAGGCTGAGAGGGAGCACTGGAGGAAGAATCTGCCAGTTCTCAGTTCTTACGCTCTTTCTTTCACGTTTTGCTGCTGTCCCCTTTGAAACAGGTTACTGGGTTAGACCGATCTTTTAATTCAGTCTAAAAGGGCAATTCATAAATGCAGGCAAGCAGCTGATGGCAGCAGGAGGGCAGAGGCTGGAATGGGACTAGAGCGAGCCCTGCGGCCTGCCTGGTCAAACAGACACAGCACTACTCTAACAGCTGGTCCCTACGTCACGCCTCTTGATGCTCCCTATCCAATGACTCAACTGGGTTTTGCTCCAGCGCTTGCTGGGACACACAGCTGAATTGTAAAATACCTTCATTTCTGTGCACAATGTTGGATGAACCACTTCTCCCCATTATCTGGGATTTCTTTACGACAAGGGCTGAGGTACATTTTGCCCTGGTAGGGGGAGCTGTCTTGCTGTTTCTGTCACCTCAGGGGTGTGCAAAGGCGTATGGTCCCCGGGCCCTGCACCTCTGACATGGAGAGGGGAGGACAGACAATAAACTGGAAGCACTTAGTTTGTTTCTTTTCTGCTCTAGCTACATCTTCAAGCGTCTGAAGTTCCTGGGTAACAAACTGCTGTCACAGGCACTGGCCCTGTTCTTCCTGGCCATTTGGCATGGGCTGCACTCTGGCTACCTGGTGTGCTTTCAAATGGAGTTGCTTATAGTCATCGTTGAAAGACAGGTGCGCTTTGTCTGACTTACCAGAGTGGGGTGGCCTGCGTTAGCCTTTCCCCGTGAGTCTGGAAACTGCCACGCTGAAGGCTTTACTTGGATTAACTATGAAAAGTAGCTGCTCGCTTTGGAATTCGTGTTCAAACGTGATACCGTTGTGTTCTCAAGCGTTCAGTAGGTTGCTGGCTTCTGCATGGGCAAGCCATAAATTTATTGCAGAAGCTGACAGGAAGAAAAGTGGAGAACTTGGCATATGAGTAGAGGGCAACTGACGTGCTTGGCAGCTGGAAAGGTTGGAGGACAAGCACATGAGCTGGATGCCTCTGCTAAATCTCTCAGTACTGAGAGAACAATGTTCCATATTTAAACTTTTTCTTCTTAATTAAAACGTTGAGCAGGATGGGGTACTTAACTGCTTTTTTAGACTAACTGCTTACTAAAATTCATTTTATGCAGCTGGATAGATGCTTTGGCCCCAGAGCCTGCATATGTAGCCACAGGACAACCAATTGAGAATAATTCTGTTTTTTCTTTAAATTAGGTCATAAACCTTGTTCGGGACAGTCCTCCCCTAAGCACTTTGGCCTCCATCACTGCCTTGCAGCCCATCTTTTATGTGCTGCAGCAGGCTAACCACTGGATGTTCATGGGTTACTCTCTGGTGCCATTTTGCCTTTTCACCTGGGACAAATGGATGAAGGTATTTAGTAGCTACAAACAGACAATCCACACAACCAACCCTTTTCCTTCCATCCAGTGTCAGAAGTTCTTGGCTCAAAGGTCCTTGCTGACCCCTAACTCTGCCTTTCTCTTCACAGGTGTACAAGTCTATTTATTTCCTTGGCCATGTGTTGTTCTTCACCTTATTATTGGTGTTGCCTTACATTCGCAGATTAATTGTGCCACGAAAAGAGAAACTAAAGAAAGCAGAATAACAGCCAAAAGGTAAGGCTGTACTATGTGGAGAGAATCCCACACTTGGACTAGGAGGTGAAGCGGGGCAGCAACGTGAAAGGCAAACATAAAAACACCCAAATCAAATCCAGCACTTCTCTCTTTTTCAGATTGTACCATCCGTGCATTTGTAGGAGTTGATTTAACACTCCGGAAGCAAAGCATCACCTGCCAAGTTTGCTGTGTTGAAGTATGACTTTTTTCAACGCAAGGAGGGGGAAAGAGAAAGCCCAGGGTCAGAGACCCGAAAGGAGGGGGAATGGAGTAAGCCTCCTTCCAGATCCTCCACCTTCTGTATGTTGCCTTATTTCTCTGCCGCCCTCCAGTGGACACTCGTGTCTCTCTGCTGATATCAGACGATTGTAAAACTCAACGCAGGCACTGTATTGGATTGGAGCCACCTTCTGACTTTTCTACGTTTGTCATCCAAGATAAAAATTGCTCCTGGTCTTTTTCATATTGGCTTCAGCTCCTTTCCTCTTGGGTGCCTTGGTGTGGGAGTGTGAACTGTCGCACACCACCAAGCAAGGGGATTCTACAGGACTGAGTAACTTCAGCTGCAGGGTGAGCAGGGCACAGCTAAGAATGTCACTTTGGTGACAAATTTGGGCTGAGTCCCTGCTATAAAGGGATGGAGCCTGCCCTTGTGTTAAATATGAGAAAGTAAAATACACAAGCACTCTTAAAAAAATGACCTTTAATAGGAGGAAAAAAGGTCAGTGAGGCAGTCCATTTAAAATTTCATTGCTCCAGAAGCTACAAAGATGAAATTGAAGTCTTTTCCCTTCCAGGAGCCCAAAGTCCTCCAGGTCCACACTGAAGTAAAAGAGCCTCTCCAGAATGTGGAGTCACTGTATAGGAATACATGATGAGAGCAGCAGCACTTCATACTACTCCCCAGACTTCCTCAAAGGCAGTAGTAATTTTAGCACATGTCAGGGCAGCAGAAAGGGGATAGTTGCTGATGGAGACCATCTTTTCTGTATAGTCAACATTGACCTGGGAGAAGGGGGGGGAGAAAAGAAAAAAATAAAGCCGCAAAGTTTTCACTTGGTCCCATCCCTCTCCATTGGTTGGAGAGGCACAGTATTTCTCCAAGGTTGAACACAGCCACAATAAAACACAGCAGACCAACTGCTAGCCCTCACTAGTGCCCTCTCTTGGGAGGGATAAAAGTCCGAAGTGTTGCAGTGCTGGGCCTTCTTTTGACAAGCCTACCCCGGGGGAAAAAAAGGGGGTGGGATGGGGTACACCAAAAGAAAAAAAAAAGGAGAGAAGAAAAAAAAAACCACCCATACTCAGAACAAGACTGAAATCTATGCTGATAAAGATTTTTACAACTCCCAAGTAAGGGATACATGTACTTACTGAGCCATGGGCAAAAGCTCCCACAACAATGGTAACTGGTTCTGCTGTAGGAACCAGTTCACGCAGATCTGACACCTTTGGAACTGCAAAAGAGGTACCTATCTTCATACAGCCCACAGGGAGATGATCACTGACTGGATTTTTAATCACCTAAAGAAAGCAGAAAGTTAGTATAGGTGTAGAGGTAAGAGGCCTTGCCACACAGCTAAGTCCATGGTTTGTACAAAAATAAATACATAAAAATACTCCTACATCACTAGCTGCAAAGGAGGAATGTTGGAACATTACCTGTGAACAGTCAAAAAATGTTTACCTTCAACAATTTCTGAGGCCCATCAGCTGCTCGAACGCTGAGTTTATGCAGCAACTGAACTGACAAGAGAAGAAAATGAGTTAAGCTGTCTGTTCTTTTGCTGGAGGAATCCTATCATCTACCTGGTAGACAAAAAGTCCATCTTTACAGTTCCTAGCATCTTCTAAAGCAGTCCTAAGAAGTACCGATCAGCAAGTTACTTTGCTGCTAGCACAGTCTCAGGCTGGCACTCCCCACTGTGCTAAGGAACACATAGTTAACCTATGTATCCTGGAACTCACCAAACACCACTTTCATTTCTCTGCTCGTTTCTCTCGCATTTTTAAGGTTGGTGGGTTGGTGCAACTTTTCTACTCTTCCCAGAATTCTCCCACTCCTAACCACCTTCCTGCATTATTTTGTGGCCGGTATAAAGTTTGAATCACTTACCCATAAGACCACAGAATCGATCAAAAGTTCTTGGGATTCTGGTTTGGGGATTGACTTCGATTAGAACATTCTTCTGGGTATGGATATAAACCTGCAGGAGACCAGCCCGATTCAGTGGGCTGTCCATGAGCATCAGGAGGCTCTGAAATAGAAAACACACAGTAGGGGAAATAGGAAAGGTGCAAAAGAGAGGGCTTTTAGAAAACTTGAGGGTTAGACCCCATGAATACAGAAGGGACTGATGCTGAGGCAGAAGTTCATCTGGCCGCATGAACTCTACCGTAAAGCTGAGAGAAAGTGATGCCACATCCAAATAAAGAGAATTACCGACAAACTGCGAGCGCAGCGAGTAAGGCCAAACTCACCCCCGTTCCAGGGGCACAACGCAGACCCCCCCAGACCTGAGGGACGACCTCCCCCAACCCTAATGCCTGCCCGCCCTACCGCCGCCCC